AGAAATTTGTTTTCTTTCTTTCTTTCAACACACCGGCCCTATCCCACCGAGGCGGGGTGGCCCAAAAGGAAAAACGAAAGTTTCTCCTTTTACATTTAGTAATATATACAGCAGAAGAGGTTACCAACCCCTTGCTCCCGGCATTTTAGTCGCCTCTTACAACACACATGGCTTACGGAGGAAGAATTCTGTTCCACTTCCCCATGGAGATAAGAGAAAATAAACAAGAATAAGAACTAGAAAGAAAATAGAAAACCCAGAGGGGTGTGTGTATATATGCTTGCACATGTATGTGTAGTGTGACCTAGGTGTAAGCAGAATTAGCAAGACATACCTGAAATCTTACATGTTTATGAGACAGAAAAAAGGACACCAGCAATCCTACCATCATGTAAAACAATTACAGGCTTTCGTTTTACACTCACTTGGCAGGACGGTAGTACCTCCCTGGGTGGTTGCTGTCTACCAACCTACTACCTAAGACAGAAATTTGTTATACTTTAGTAGTAATTCCTTTTTTCCATTATCATAATCAGAATACACTGAAACTGTATCACTCCTTTACACTTTCATTCACTGCATAATGATGATTAAATAGTGGTAAGTGTTTAAATTAGCCACTTCCTGAAATACTGAAAGTGCCTTATCAAAGCCTATAAAAATTGTTGCATTCTTTAAATCATGAAAATACAGCTTGCCTTGAGTATGAGAAAAAATAGTGTACAGAACTAGTTTTTATATGTACAGTAGGACTCCCACATCTGCGGGGGAGATGTTCAAAGACCCACCGTGGATACCCGAAACCTCGAATAGTAGCGAACCCTATTATTTAAGTCATTTTTCGTTTGCATACATACCTATGATAAGGTTTAATTGATTAATTACGCACATTAAGTTGAGCACTAGCACATTTTCACAGATGGGAAGCACTTCATGACTTGTCTTAAGATTTGAAGAACTGTCACCATCACTACTTATTTTCAGGCCAGGATAAACAATGGATAACTGAAACCACGGAAACCGGACTCGCGGATACGGCAGCCCTACTGTATATTTTCAGTAACTGAGAAAATACGTTATATACAGCTATCTAAAATAATATTTTCATGTGAGTTTTACTTACCCATATATCTGTTCCAAGTGGTACAAGGATGTTCCAAGTGGTACAAGGATGTTCCAAGTGGTACAAGGATGTTCCAAATGGTACAAGGCTGTTCCAAGTGGTACAAGGATGTTCCAAGTGGTACAAGGATGTTCCAAATGGTACAAGGCTGTTCCAAGTGGTACAGAATGTTCCAAGTGTTGCAACTTAAGAAGCATTTCTATACTATATTAAGAAAATGATTGAAGTTCACCTAAGTAAGGTTTCTAGCTGGTGAATAAGACACACAGACAGAAGCTTTATATAAATAATGCTTCTCTCAGTGAGAGTCTTATCAAGTTTTAATAAAGGTTTGCTCAGTCATGTCTTTTTATTATTAATAAATGTTTACTCGATCTATGTCTTTTATTTATTATTAATAAAGGCTTGCTCAGTCATGTCTTTCATTATTAATAAAGGTTTGCTCAGTCATGTCTTTTATTTATTATTAATAAAGGCTTACTCAAGTCATGTCTTTCATTATTAATAAAGGTTTGCTCAGTCATGTCTTTTATTTATTATTAATAAAGGCTTGGTCAGTCTATGTCTTTTATTTATTATGTGTTAGATTATTCCTTACTTTTTAGGATTTCTGCATCTACTTCTCATTTTTGAATGCCAACCAGGGATAAACACAGCTGCTATTATTTTACATTTTTGCTCTTAATTTGGTTAATAAATAACAGCTATATTGGAATCAATATGTAGAAATCTATATTAATTGATGTGATTTCAATTGGTAAATATTTTGAAACGATTCAGTAAAATTTCACCTTAACCCTTTGACTGTTTCGGTCGTATATATACGTTTTACAAGCCACCGTTTTTTATGTATATACAGTATAGCATAAATTCTAGCGGCTTCAAATCAAGCAGGAGAAAGCTGGTAGGCCCACATGTGAGAGAATGGGTCTGTGTGGTCAGTGTGCACCATATAAAAAAAATCCTGGAGCATGCAGAGCATAATGAGAAAAAAAACTCCTGGTCGTTTTTTTAATTAAAATGCCGACTTTGTGGTCTATTTTCGTATAGTATTTATGGTTATATTCTTGTTTTCTTGGTCTCATTTGATAGAATGGAAAACATATTATAGATATAGAGGTGATTTTGATTGTTTTACTATGAAAAGAACTTTGAAATGGAGCTCAAAGTAGGGGAAATGTTTGATTTTTTCCAATGTTCAAAAGTAAACAAATGATGTCATTTTCCAATAAATGTCCAAGTAGCCATTCTAATATGCAGTCATGAATGGGTTGACATTATTTATACAATTATTACAATATTGCAGTAGTCTGCATAACAGTAAATCTTCTATTTTTTGTTTGAATAAAAATTCAGAATAGAAAGCAAGAGTAATATCAGAGGGGTCTGGGGATGGGACTGATGAACATATAAAACATTATTTTAGAGCTAGGAATGTCTGCATTGTTCATTCTGGACCCTATTTTGAAATTGTCATATTTTTTAATTTTCGTGAAATTGGCCAAATTGCAAATTTCTGACCACGTTATTGGGTAATTTAAATTGGTAAATGGGCACTTTCTGTACTCAATCGATAGAAAAAATGGAGTTCCAAAGAAATAGCTATGAGTTTGATCGACTGGAACAATGGAATTAGCCGAAAATAGGGCTCAAAGTGGGAAAAATCACCAATTCGTCAATATCACCAAGGTCGCTAACTTCACGAGAACGTGGTTCTGTCAGTTTTCCATCAAATTTTGTTCTTTTGGTGTCATTACAATCGGGAAAAGATTCTCTATAATTTCATAAGAAAAAATATTTTTTTTTTTTTTTTTTTTGGAAATTTTGCGACACCTCAGGATTTGGGGTTGCGACAGTCAAGGGGTTAAGAGTCCATTTCATCTTCGCTGTCCAACACGTGGAGAGAGTGCGACCAAAATGTTTATGGATGAGCAGGGTAATGCAGGTAAACAATATATTATGGTGGGAAAAACAAGATCAACAAAATAAGAGGTGTTGTCAGTAGCAAAAAAAATTTCAAAGAAAACTGTTATATTTCTTTACATTGAGACTGAGATATCAGTGAACAAATTAATCAGGATTTTCACTATCTTAGAATTTGTTAAAATGCCACAGACTTTTGTACTATGAACAGATTATTTTTGAAGCCTCAATACCTTTAACATTGTCTAAAAAAATCATGACTTGGGATGTTCCTCTCACTTATCCCCCTCATCATCCCCCCTTTTTTTGCTTAAAACTATTAAACAGTGATCAGAATCAATAAATACAATGTCAGGCCAGAGTTTCTGCAAACATTTCTATGAATTTTTCACATGTTGAAAAGCTGTTGCAATATTGAAAATAGTGTCCAAAACAGTGTAGTATGCTATATGTTCAACTTCTTCAGATTCCTGTTATGAGTACTGTAATCTGTTTTCATGAGAACATTTTCCTGAAGTGGTTTTTGAGGTTTTAAAATGGTATATCATTATAGATGACTGGAAGGCTTCATGTCTTAAAATGACCTGGAGTTTATGCTTTTACCCACAATAATTTGAAACACTGCACGGCAGAAGCAGCACTCTCACAGTTCAAACATTTCTTATACTATATGTATATATTTATTAAGAAGCTAAGATTGTCTACCCTGAGCAGTTGTGGTTTAAGGAAGCACAGATATAACAAAACAATTAAGTTTCATTGACTTATATAACTGGTATACTGTTTACTTGCATTTAATTAATAGATCAGCAAAATGAATGTTGCAGTATCACTACCTTGTTCAAGTGCAAAGTTCTTTTTCAGTATGGAATAATTCTTAGGTTTGGTCACAGTCCTTAATCACTTATATGTAAAGTCAAAACACTTGCATCCTTTTTTTTTTTTTTTTTTTTTGTGAAGACTTTGTAGCTATGGGTATGCTCTGCAAATTCCAACCCATTTTTGTTTTACACTATCACACAGTCATTTACTAATTGTCCTCTGTTCAGTATGCAGTAAATAATTTGTATTTGCTTTCAGTAAGGTTAGAGTAAGTTACACTAACCTATAGTAACAAATATTTAATCATAATTATATAAAATTACTATAGGCGCAACACGTCTAGCAGTGAGGTATCTTGGCAAATATGTGAAATGATGAACTCTGCATGCACAGCACCAGGATGATTTGAAAATTTAGTAGCAGCAAAACATTAGAACAAATTACTTTCAGAATGTACATCACCCAGAGCCATTAAAGCAACATCTAACTCGCATGCAACTAATGCACAAGACGTGGCTTATTTGATGCTCTTAATATTTATTGTTTCCTGCTCTACAGGTTTTCTCTTACTTGCTCTGCTTCATGAAACACTTGCTAAATAATTTTTAACCGTATTGTGGCATTATTAGAGGTCTTCTTCATTGAGTGCCATAAGTTCTGTAATGAGAATCACTTGGCATTAGTTGAGGCAATGCTGAAGGTGACTCAAACAAAATACGACTGACCAAAACAAACCTCTAAGGCTGAGTCATCCCCACCACCTGTGTATCAGTTCAAGTCATCCCCACCGCCTGTATGTCAGTTCAAGTCATCTCCACCACCTTGCATCAGTTCGAGTCATCCTTACCACCTGTCCATCAGCCAGACACAAACTTTGAACCATTACTGCCAAAAATGGGACGACCAATACTGGGAAGTGGTGGCTACCACATACACAAAGATAACAGTTTTCACTGTAGGTAATGCACATGATAATAGACCAAACTGGCTGTGAAGCCAAGGAAAGCTATATTTAATAACCTAATTATTCCTAGATTTTTTTATCAATCAAGTGGGTTTTGTAACTATTTTGCCCATATTTGACTGAGTGCACTGTACAACAAATACAAGGAAAACTTAGTGAGAACTCAAATTAAGATGCATGCATCGTATTTATTTACTTATAAAAAAAAAAAACACGATTGATTACAATATTACGGAACGACGAAGTTTACACATAACCCTTTACTATTATATTTATTTCAAGAAAAAGAGAGAGAGAGAGAGAGAGAGAGAGAGAGAGAGAGAGAAAAACGATAGTATTAAAAGTGCATTAAACACGGCTATAAAGAAATTCATGGATTATAGTTACATACCTGGTCAAAATATATGAATTTTTTTTGTAGTCAAACTCAATTATCACTAATCTTATTTTAATAAAAATGGCAAATCAATGTCAAAAATTTAGTGGGAAAAGTAAATCAGACAACAGACAATAGTCATCAAAATTTTTTTTAGCTTATAATTTGAGTAGATATGTAAGTACCTCAGAACAAAAAATAATTGAAGACTTGGCCCCTTGTTCTTAAATTTCAACACCAGGTTTCAGGGAGATATATATACCATGTTTATTCCAAAGCTTGGCCCCTTATTGATGAACGGAATTTAAAAATAATGCTTTGGTGATTGTACAAGTCAAACAAAATTCATAATGATATTTCAAGTGTGCCTACATGATATACAAGACATTGAGCAAATTATTGCAGTTTAGTAAACAAGAATTGCAAAAAGAAAGAAGGTGTGACAATGCTCCTAAAGGCAGCAACATGCACTCTGTAAAAGGAAACATGTGCAACTTATTCAAAATTTTACTGTTGCAATGTTTCGCTCTCCAGTTGTTTTGTCGAGTCATTAACGGCTTGACAAAGCTCCTGGAGAGTGAAATGTTGCCACAATAAAATGTTGCATTAGATGCACACGTGTCCTTTTACCTAACATATTGTCAGTATTCTACCAACATTATTACAACACGCACTCCACCGAGATTTATATCCGTAATGGGAGCAATATTTTGACTCGATGTACCGGAAAATGATCACTCTCTCAACATGAGCTCTACAGCCAAAGTAACAGGTGTGAAACATCATCCCACAAACTAATAACTTAACACGCAGTGCTCTGTATTAAACCCAATTAAAAAAAATCTTTACAGCCTGGTATACAAGACACGTACAATCAAGAAAATTCTAAATTTTTGTGCTGCTCTTATTACACCAGCAAGAGCCAACAAGCACCATAGAATGATGAGCTTAAACTGCTTTAATTCATGTACACTCTGAGCTTGTTGTCTTGCCATGTGTTGAGCAGTATATTCAGATGGCTCAATTACATTTAAAATAATAAAAGTGAATAATGGGTCGCAATTAACTTAGGTATACAGTCATCTTAAATGGGTTTGTATTTGTATACTGAAAAATGAAGAAAATCATTATTTATCTACTCCAGGGAAAAATTAAAATAGGTGAAAGAGGTTGATTCTTAGTGGTTACAGTAATTTTGGTATGTATAGTTTAGGCTTAATGAAGAACGTTCTCAAAGCATAAGACACAAATTATCAATAGAATTAATTATACGTAGCTCTCCCACTGGATACACAAGAAAATTTTAATTAATCTTTCACACAGTTGCTGCAATTACATCATGTATCTATTTTCTTCAGACTGCACTATTACGATCTTTAACAAGTGAACATGTTTCTCCACATTAATTAAAACTGATTAAAATAGGAAAACTAGAAACATGTGATGCCGCATAAAAGGCACACTGTAAGGCACTTCTAGAAAAATTAAATGCTTGAACTGCAAATCCTTATACTGTTCTTATATTTATATTCGTAATTAAACTGTGAATACAAAAGCTCGGACATACGGATTATATAAATATATTACAAAAGAGATTGTAGTTAGATTGCACCACAATCCTCCACTTTAACAGACACCCTGTGAACATTAATTGCTGCAGCCTTCTTGGCAACGTCTAGTCCGTCCACTACCTTACCGAAAACAAGGCTGTAGGAAAATTTCTTGAATTCTCTATCTCCACACCATATCATGAACTGCGAGCCAATCATGCCCCGTCCATTGTCACTAGTGCCAATGCCCTTAAATCTGACCATACCAACCTCATCCTTTAATGGACAGAGATCAGCTTCAAATGTGCTTTTTTCAAAGGCTGAGTAACCACCAGTACCGTCGTCGTTCTCCACATCCCCGCCAGCAAGGAAGCCTTCCCCACTCTTGAAAAAATGAGTGCCTTTGTATCCATACCCACTTCTATTGGTGCAGAGTGCAACAAAATTATCACACATTCTCGGTGCTTTATCTGGGCGAAGTTCAAATATAATACGACCTGCTAATATTCCATTAATGGATAAAATCATCCAGCAATGAGGAAATTTTCCAGGTCTACCAACTGGTGAAATTGGTTTCTGTATAAGCAGTTTTGGGGGATTCTCAGGTGGTGGTGTGGGCTTAGCTGGCTTTTTTGCAGCATCGACATATGACACTGGTATCGGTTCTTTCTTATCTGTTAAAGACTCAGTATCATCCTTTCCATTTTCTGAAGCTTCAGAGGCAAGCAAGGAAAGATTTGTCAACCCTAAAGAAAGAGCTGATCCCATAGCACTTGATCCTATTGCAGCAGCACCTGCAGACATAACAGACATGCTGTCACGATTGGACCCTAACAATGACCCAGCTTCAATTACCTCAGTCATTTGTAAAATGTGCTCTACGTTTACATTGCTCATTTCATGACTTTTCATTTCGTTTAATTTACTTAAGTCATAGCTCTTCAGCTCATTTAATTTACCAGGACTGAGGCCAAGGCTGTGACCAAGGTTATCTTCAAGAATACTTGTGGATGCTACCGAGGGGGTCATGTTAGGTTGCATGGGGCTGGAAGCAGACAGGGAAGGTTGCTGGCTAGGACTAAGAGGACTAATTGGACTAACTGCACTTAACTGCATCATTCTAGTAGATAGTAGGTCTGACAGCATGTAGAGGAGGAGCACATTGGCATTATTCCCAAATAAGGCATACTCCTCTAACGATGAAGTCATGATAAAAGCTTCTTCATTCCTAAATCCTAAGGAAGCCAACACTGCATCCAATGCAGATTGTTTCAGCTTTATAACAATTGCTTCCGTTGCATTGTTGATGGCTGTTATTGCAGCACACTGACTGAATTGGGTTGAGATTATTGAACTGTAAGAATGAACCTGAAAATAAATAAAATGCATAATTATAATTGCCAGTATGAAATATTTGAACACTATTATAAACAAATATTCCTTACACTAACTTACATATACAGACATTCCCCTCATCTTTAACCAATTTTTAGTTATAAGTTATGAAATTACTAACTTTCCTAAGAAGAGGAATAAATAACTCAAGTTTTGTTTATAACAATTTAGGTGGATTTGGAAAAGGCGTATGACAGGGTGGATAGGGGGGCAATGTGGCAGATGTTGGAGGTGTATGGTGTAGGAGGTAGGTTACTGAAAGCAGTGAATAGTTTTTACGAGGATAGTGAGGCTCAAGTTAGAGTATGTAGGAAAGAGGGAAATTATTTCCCAGTAAAAGTAGGCCTTAGACAAGGATGTGTGATGTCACCGTGGTTGTTTAATACAGTGGACCCTCGACTAACGCTATTAATCCGTTCCTGAGAGCTCATCGTTAGTCAAAATAATCGTTAGTCAAGTTAATTTTCCCCATAAGAAATAATGGAAATCAAATTAATCCGTGCAAGACACCCAAAAGTATTGAAAAAAAAAATTTTTTAACACATGAAATATTAATTTTAATACACACAAACTGAAGAAGACATGCACAGTTACATGACACTTACCTTTATTGAAGATCTGGTGATGATTGATGGGATGGGAAGAGGGGAGTGTGTTGATGGCCTTAGTGTTTAGAAGGGGAATCCCCTTCCATTAGGACTTGAGGTGGCAAGTCCTTTTTCGGGGTTACTTCCCTTCTTTTAATGCCACTAGGACCAGCTTGAGAGTCACTGGACCTCTGTCGCACAACATATCTGCCCATAGAGGCCTGTACCTCCCGTTCCTTTATGACATTCCTAACGTGTTTCACAACATTGTCAGTGTCACCATTAAACACTTGTTCAGGTTTCAGTCCTCCACTGTCTATGTACTCCTTGAATTCCTGCACATATTTTTCAGCTGCTTTTTGGTCCAAACTGGCAGCCTCACCATGCCTTATCACACTATTTATGCCACTACGATTCTTAAATCTCTCAAACCAACCTTTGCTGGCCTTAAATTCACTCACATCACCACTAGTTGCTGGCATTTTTCTAATTAAATCGTCATGCAACTTCCTAGCCTTTTCACATATGATCGCTTGAGAGATGCTATCTCCTGCTATCTGTTTCTCGTTTATCCATACCAATAACAGTCTCTCAACATCTTCTATCACTTGCGATCTCAGTTTTGAAAACATAGTTGCACCTTAGGCAAGAACAGCTTCCTTGATTGCTGTTTTCTTGGCCACAATAGTAGCGATGGTTGATTGGGGTTTTGTGTACAGCCTGGCCAGCTCGGAGACATGCACTCCACTTTCATACTTAGCAATGATCTCTTTCTTCATATCCATAGTAATTCTCACCCTTTTTGCTGTAGGGTTGGCACTAGAAGCTTTCTTGGGGCCCATGGTGACTTATTTTGCAGGTGCAATCACTAAAAAGGCTGTGATAATATGAAATGTTCCGATTGTATGCTTGGAAGCGACCGCGGTGGCTGGCTGGCTGGCTTGTAAACACTGGCCAGAAGTGGATGCGTCTCAGACGGAAGGAATAGTGTTGGTCGAGTTTTTTAGCACTAATCGAGGCAAAATTTTTGCGATAAAATGTATTGCTAGTCAGATTTATCGTTAATCGATGCCATCGCTGGTCGAGGGTCCACTGTATATTTATAGACGGGGTTGTAAGAGAAGTAAATGCGAGGGTCTTGGCAAGAGGCGTGGAGTTAAAAGATAAAGAATCAAACAAAGTGGGAGTTGTCACAGTTGCTCTTTGCTGATGACACTGTGCTCTTGGAAGATTCTGAAGAGAAGTTGCAGAGATTGGTGGATGAATTTTGGTAGGGTGTGCAAAAGAAGAAAATTAAAAGTGAATACAGGAAAGAGTAAGGTTATGAGGATAACAAAAAGATTAGGTGATGAAAGATTGGATATCAGATTGGAGGGAGAGAGTATGGAGGAGGTGAATGTATTCAGATATTTGGGAGTGGACGTGTCAGCGGATGGGTCTATGAAAGATGAGGTGAATCATAGAATTGATGAGGGGAAAAGGTGAGTGGTGCACTTAGGAGTCTATGGAGACAAAGAACTTTGTCCTTGGAGGCAAAGAGTATAGTTTTACCAACGCTCTTATATGGGTGTGAAGTGATGAATGTTGCAGCAAGGAGAAGGCTGGAGGCAGTGGAGATGTCATGTCTGAGAGCAATGTGTGGTGTGAATATAATGCAGAGAATTTGTAGTTTGGAAGTTAGGAGGAGGTGCGGGATTACCAAAACTGTTGTCCAGAGGGTTGAGGAAGGGTTGTTGAGGTGGTTCGGACATGTAGAGAGAATGGAGCGAAACAGAGTGACTTCAAGAGTGTAGTATCAGTCTGTAGTGGAAGGAAGGCGAGGTAGGGGTCGGCCTTGGAAAGGTTGGAGAGAGGGGGTAAAAGAGGTTTTGTGTGCGAGGGGCTTGGACTTCCAGCAGGCATGCGTGAGCGTGTTTGATAGGAGTGAATGGAGACAAATGGTTTTTAATACTTGACGTGCTGTTGGAGTGTGAGCAAAGTAACATTTATGAAGGGGTTCAGGGAAACCGGCAGGCCGGACTTGAGTCCTGGAGATGGGAAGTACAGTGCCTGCACTCTGAAGGATGGGTGTTAATGTTGCAGTTTAAAAACTGTAGTGTAAAGCACCCTTCTGGCAAGACAGTGATGGAGTGAATGATGGTGAAAGTTTTTCTTTTTCGGGCCACCCTGCCTTGGTGGGAATCGGCCAGTGTGATAATAATAAAAAAAAAAAATACTTTTTGCCTATTCTATGAAATGGTTACTGCTGTGGATGATCCGCTAGTGTGGTGTTACAATAATTTCTCATGAAGCTGCCGTAATCAGCAGCTTCATAGCAAATTTTCTTTATTAACACGCCAGAACTTTTTTTTATTAACACATTAGCCATTTCCCACTGAAGCAGAGTGACCCGAAAAACGGCAGGATGGGACTCGCTCTGGATATTTGTAACCTTCTCTTCCCTGCACCAAAATACTTTTCCTTGTCTTCCTGCTGTGTGTAAGACAAAATGGAATAATGATGACTCAAGAGTCGACGTTAACAGACAATTATTTTGATGAAAAGGCACATGTGCAACATCTGGTAATCTTTATTGAGACATTTTGCTCACAAGGGCATGCTGAAGCATCTGCAGAAATTTATCTATGGCGGCAAATAAGAAAATGTACCAGAGTATAGTAGTACCAATATGTTTACATGGGTGTGAGGAATGAGTTTTGAAAGCTGAAGTGAGGAGGAGGCTGGAGGCAGTGGCAATATACTGTGTGAGAACAATGAGTGGAAAGAATATCCTGAAGTGAATTCAGAGCTTAGAAAATTAAAAGGTGATGTGGGACAACCAAGGGAATAATTTTGAAGGCTAAGGTGGGGTTGTGTTGAGGTGCTTTGATTATGTACAGAGACAGGATGATGATGGTGTGGTATAAATCTGGGGTGAAAGGAAGGATTAGAAATGGTCATCCCAAAAAGTTAAGAGGGAGGGGATAAAAGAAGCTTTGAGTTTTAGGGGCTTGAGCATCCAGCAGGCTTGTGTGAGCGTTAGATAGAACTGAATGGAGACAAGTAGTTTTTAATGGACATGCTGCTGGAATGTGAGACTGGAGCCATGGTAGTGAAAAGGGCAGTGTCTACACTTTGAAGGTGGGGTGGAGATGATGCAGTACCAGGGGAATCCTAAGTGTAATGTCAACACACTTATGGGAAGACAGAAATTGAATGAATGATGGTGAATATGTTTTCTTCTTTGGAGAGATGGCTGTTGAGGTTAAAAAAAAAAAAAAAGGTGTGATGAGTTAACAAAATCTTTAGAAAGATGCATAGATAAGAGAATACTTAGATGGAGTAAATATGAAAAAAAATCTTGTATAATGCACTATAAAATACAGAATATAAGCTGCTTGTATACTGTAATTTTAGTTAATTTTTTAAAGCATCAGCTCTTGCCCAAGGTGGTGTAACTGAAAAAAAAGAGGAAATACATTCACCATCAATCATTCAATAGCTCTCTTTTATGAAACAAGGCTTTTTGCTTTCCTTAAAAATGTATTCCAAGAAAACAACCACTTGTTCAATTTTTCTTTTCCTCTTGGAAATTTGTATGTATTGGACTTTACATTCTGACTTCTCAAAACAACTTCTCTCTTTCTAAACAAGTTTTCCTTTTTTATCATTTTGTTTTCCTAAATCCTCCTAACAAATAAGCCATTCAAGTATTAGTAACTAAAAGTTTTCCATTTCGTTTGGTAGTCCTTAATCCTGCAATCTTACATGTGCTTAAAATCTTAACATCAGTCATTACTCTAAAATAACATATGTTATGTCAAGACTAAATCACGTCTTCTGTCTACAATTGATTTTAAACATTTCTCCAAATACTAAAACAAAATTATATTAAGAATATCCATCAGCCTGTGTTTGTTAACAAAGCTCTCTAAAATCTAAGAGTATTTCTACACTTAGTTTTTCTTTCTTTTTTGGGTCACCCTGCCTTGGTGGGAAATGGCTGATGTATTAAAAAAACAATTCTATACTTGTTTTCCTGTGGTCTTGTTTAATTTTCTATGCTGACAATTTTGCAGCTTAGAAAGAAACTATTGGAATCTGAACTGCAGTACTGGTGCACCTCTGGCAAGACTGATGGAGTGAATGATGGTGCATGTGTTTCTTCTTTCTTGGGTCACCTTACCTTGGTAGGAGCTGGCCAGTGTTAAAAAAAACAAAAAAAACAGATGTAATAGAAGGAAATAAATCAGATACTGAATATGCCATGATTTGAGCAATACTTACTTTCTGGAGGGATTCAGTTAGATATGATATTGAGGTGTTATCGTTGAGTGATTCGCTCGCCGCTGTTAGGTCAGCCAAGTGATCCTGCAATACTGCTTCTTCCAGCTGCTCACCTTCAACCTAGAAATAAGTTAAAAAGTTAACCACTCTTATCTTGTCTAGACTTAAGTTGTTACTATGTACTAAGATTAGTCTACCCAAAATACCCTGGCATGATAGTGGCTTTCTTTGTACTTAACAAACCAAAATTATAATTACATATTGTAACCTTTGTAAAGAAATAAAATGTTTACCCTTTATTCTTTAGGAACATGTGGTACAATTATAGCATTTTAAAATTTCCTACATGTAATACCATATTTCTATCAGTAATGCTGCATGTATGATATACATTTGTCCTATGCATTCAATGTGGTTCAGAAAACATACTAAAGGCTTATTACATGAAAAATTGAGGTGCTGATGGCGTTACTAAGCTTAGTATAGCTGTCATGAGCTTGGGATGCATTTACTGTCTTAAGAGAGACAGACAGCTGCATATTATTACCTTTCTACGAAGCTCTTCCAAGAATTTCTCTACACTGAGAACAGTACGTTCAAGCCGTTCCTTCATAGTGGCCCTCATAGTCATAGTCTGTCGTAGCTGCTTGAGGGTTAAGTCTTGAGATGATTGAAGATTTCCTCGGAGAATGTCTTTGGCCTGGTCTTCGGGGATTAGCTGGTGGCCCTGATTACTACAATAGTCATTTGACACCATTTTTAGACAGGTACAACATATCATGGGTGAAGGGGTGCTGGGAGGCCTGTTGACAAAAACATTTGTTGCCTTTTAATACAGGCTATAAGGAATTAACCAGGTACAGCAGGGCCCCACTTATACGGCAGGTTAGGTTCCAGGCTACCGCTGTAAAGCGGAAACCGCCGTAAAGTGGAACACCCTTTTTTTCCACTTATAAATGCATACAAACACTAGATAACAAGTTTACACTAACATATATTAAGTTAGCAATAGAACCAGGCATCAAAAAACAATAAAAAAGTACAATACACACATAGTGCACTCATTACTTACCTTAAAATATTTATAGTCTTAATCTAGGGTGAGACAAGTAGTATTTATTGTAAGAAATCAAGTGTGGTATGTATGGTAATCAGCCAGGCTACCTTACCAGGCCACCCCACCCACACATACTATTCTATGATATTTAAGCATCCCAGAGTGATAAAATGTATATACAGTTCACTCATTACTTACCTTAAAATATAGGGTGAGATGAGTAGCATTTATTGTAAAAAATCAAGTGTGGTATGTATGGTAGTCAGCCGGGCTACCATACCAGGCCAACCCACCCACACATATATTCTATGATATTTAAGCATCCCAGAGCGATAAAATGTATATACAGTTCACTCATTACTTACCTAAAATATTTGTAGTCTTAATGTAGGGTCAGGAGTAAGTAAATGAGATAAAACGAATAAATGAGAGAGAGAAAGATGAGTACATGAGAGGGGACAGGCGCAGAGTTATGTAAACAAACCAGGCGAACGTAAGTTTTGTAAACAAACGAAGTGTACACGTCTGGTTTGTGTACAAGTTACATTGTGTACAGGTTGTCTCTACATTGATACGGTAGAATTAATAAAGAAGAACACTCCCATTCTCATGTAACATCATTTTGAGAAGAAATGAAGCTCTGAGTGAAGGCAATGGAAATAAGTCACACTGACTTTTTGGGTTATCCTAGGTTCTCTACACATATGTTGTTATGTATGATAATCTATGTAACTGTATTTGTGTATACCTGAATAAACTTACTTACATACATACGAAAGGAATAATTTTCTACAGTTACCCCCAGTAACACATTTTCTCTTATGTTAGATTAGAGAAAATGTTATTCTTGCCGTCACTTGTACAAGTTATCTGGCTCCCACATCTTATATTTATGTTTATTTATTCTATTGTGGGGTGTATTTATCATCTTTTTATGTTATGTATCGTGTTTATTATAATTTGAAAAAAATACATGGATGGATTAATGAAAGTGTATATTAACGTAATTTCGACATTTAATAGACTCGTGAGTATTGTTGTTATTATATTATCATTTCTAATATGGCGTCACTTGGCAAGTCGTCTGCTACCACATATCACATTAGTTTATTATTCTACTGTGGGGTGTAATTTATCTTATTTATATGTTAGCATCGTGTTTATTATATAATTTTGAAAAAAATATCATAGATGGATTAATGAAAATGTGTATATTAAAGTAATATACGACATTTAAATGACTCGATGATTATTATTATCATTACTAATATGACGTCTGGAGACATAAGACACTTACCGATTTTAATGTGTACCTGCATGCCAGCACAGTATGTAAGTTTATTTAGGTACAGGTATACATAAGTATAATTATCAGAGTATATATAAAATATGAAATAACTTTTAAAAACATTTGAGATTTTGGAGTTTCCAGACAAAATGGAGAGACTTAGTGCTTACTGAGCTCACGGAGAATGTAAACAAACAGGGTGGGGCACGGTGACCGTATTAGAAAGTCAGGTGGGGGGAGCCGTATAGCGAGTTTTGGTCATAATTTGAAATGACCGTATTAGCGGAACGCCGTAAAGTGAAACGCCGTAAAGCGGGGCCCTCCTGTACAATACAGTGTGCCTCCAATGCAATACAAGAACTCTTTAACGGTAAGAATTCATTTAAATTTCCACCAATCATGAGACTGCAGATGGTGTAAATTTACACCAATCATGAGAATGCCAATGACAAATTTATGCTAAATATGAGACTGCCACTGATGTAAATTTACACCTAAATTCTAGTGCCTCTAAAATGGTCACAATTGGTCTGGTTTGGACTACAACAGAGAAAACAGGTCTGTGGCTGTGGTGTTTGCAGTATATAAAAAACTGTTGTGTGCAAGGCATTGTGGGAGCCAATAAATGCCATTTTCGTTTGTTTGCATGTGTTTAGCAGTTACATTTGTTTAGCACATTGAACAATAAATACATGTGAAATATATGAAAACATATAGTTATAAAACACACGATTCAAGAAAAATAATTAGAAAACTTGGAAAGAAATCATATAAAAATGTTAACACATAGAAACTTCCTCCCCATGGCAAGCTGTTGTTATAAAAAAAACAAAAATGTCACCTACGAAAAAAAAAAATTAGATACATGTTCTAGAATTCTTCCTGCATAAGCCATGGATGTCATAAGAGGTGACTAATATGCTAGGAGAAAGGGGCTAGTAACTCCTCCTCCTGTATATATTACTAAATGTAAAAGGAGAAACTTTCGTTTTTCCTTCTGGGCCACCCCGCCTTGGTGGGATATGGCAGGTGCGTTGAAAGAACGAACATGTGTTCTACAATCTGCACATTATGTCCTTGCACTGAACTGATAAAGCCACTGAATGGTGAAATATCAACAAATAAGGATACCCTATATTTCACATAGTCGGACTTGAGTCCTGGAAATGGAAAGTACAATGCCTGCACTTTAAAGGAGGGGTTTGGGATATTGGCAGTTTGGAGGGATATGTTGTGTATCTTTATATGTATATGCTTCTAAACTGTTGTATTCTGAGCACCTCTGCAAAAACAGTGATAATGTGTGAGTGTGGTGAAAGTGTTGAATGATGATGAAAGTATTTTCATTTTGGGGATTTTCTTTCTTTTTTGGGTCACCCTGCCTTGGTGGGAGACGGCCGACTTGTTGAAAAAAAAAAAAAAAAAAAAAAAAAGGATACCCTAGATGTTGCACGTGTGTCTAATTCTTCATACTGTTGGCAGCATATATTAATTCATCTACATCACCTTCAAACCTTCACATCTCCATAAGTAATATTCAGTTTCACTCATTTTTGTCTTATTACACTTCTAAAATCAGGGAGAATTATTTTTGGCAAGATTTTTTTTTTTTTTAAAAATTGCCAGCACTGGGGAATACATTAAGGACGGAGGCCGCCGAGTCTGAGCCTAAATACACCAAAAAATCGAAAAAATATGGAAAATGAGTTATTCATACAGAAAATAGCTTAACTCTTTGGCAACACAATGGTACAAGAATCAATGTTCTACAACGTTTCTACAAGAAATTATAGTCATTTATATCAGGTATGGTGGCGGCGATGTAGGCCATAATATAGCGAGAGTCCACCAGCAATATTTCGATATAAATGAGTTACTCCTCGTCCCCTTGTTCTATTGTTTGGTATGTGAGTGATAGAAAACGGTGTTTTGAAGAGGATAACTGCACTAGAACATCAGTTTACTAAGAAATACACCGAAAAAAACACGATTTCCGCGCAAAAAAAATTTTTTTTTTGAGACGGTAGGCCGGCCGACGTTCTAGGCCTATATCTCGGAAGTAACTTATTCACTTATTTCGCTCCATAGCTCCATTATTAATGATTGTGTTGAAATGATTTTCACAGACAATATAAAACAAAGTGTGTTTGAAATTGAGACATAAAATTTTTTGGAATATCTCAAATATTTTTTATTTTATGCGGGGTTAAAAGGCAGATATTTTGGCAAATGCCAAAAATTCTGTCAAATGTATTTTTTTTTAACTTGATAATAAGATATATTAGATGAAATGGCTATGTTAAAATGTCGTGCTAGTTGTATTCTAACAGTTGGGAATGTCGGAAGTGCCACTCGTAGTGCCAATTTGTCACGTCGTGCTGCCATATATAAAAATTATGTTTATATTTTTTTCTCTGTTGTTTGTTGGCCAATCATACTGAAACTTTGTCACATGCTTCTACATATGCACCTCTAAAAGTACAACAAAAATAAAATAAATCGGTTGAAAAATAAAAAAGTAAAAAAAAAAAAAAAAAACGTTTGTAATGTGTCCTTAACTCTGTACACTGGGGAGTACATTAACTTTGTAAACTGGGGAGTACATTAACTTTGCACACCAGGGAGTACATTAACTCTGTACACTGGGGAGTACATTAACTTTGTACACTGGGGAGCACACTAACTCTGTACACTGGGGAGTACACTAACTCTGTACACTGGGGAGCACACTAACTCTGTACACTGGGGAGTACACTAACTCTGTACACTGGGGAGTACACTAACTCTGTACACTGGGGAGCACACTAACTCTGTACACTGGGGAGTACATTAACTTTGCACACCAGGGAGTACATTAACTCTGTACACTGGGGAGTGTACAGAGTTAATGTACTCTGTACACTGGGGAGTACATTAACTCTGTACACTGGGGAGCACACTAACTCTGTACACTGGGAGCACACTAACTCTGTACACTGGGGAGTACACTCTGTACACTGGGGAGTACACTAACTCTGTACATTGGGGAGCACACTAACTCTGTACACTAACTCTGTACACTGGGGCGTACACTAACTCTGTACACTGGGGAGCACACTAACTCCGTACACTGGGGAGTCCACTCTGTACACTGGGGAGTACACTAACTCTGTACACTGGGGCGTACACTAACTCTGTACACTGGGGAGCACACTAACTCTGTACACTGGGGAGTACACTAACTCTGTACACTGGGGAGTACACTAACTCTGTACACTGGGGAGTACACTAACTCTGTACACTGGGGAGTACACTAACTCTGTACACTGGGGAGCACACTAACTCTGTACACTGGAGTACACTAACTCTGTACACTGGGGAGCACACTCTGTACACTGGGGAGCACACTAACTCTGTACACTGGGGAGCACACTAACTCTGTACACTGGGAGTTATACTAACTCTGTACACTGGGGAGTACACTAACTCTGTACACTGGGGAGCACACTAACTCTGTACACTGGGGAGTACACTCTGTACACTGGGGAGTACACTAACTCTGTACACTGGGGAGCACACTAACTCTGTACACTGGGGAGTACACTAACTCTGTACACTGGGGAGTACACTAACTCTGTACACTGGGGAGTACACTAACTCTGTACACTGGGGGGCACTACCTCTGTACACTGGGGAGTACACTAACTCTGTACACTGGGGGGCACACTAACTCTGTACATTCTGGCAGTTTAAGGGTTAACATTTAAGAAACAACACTGCCCAGACTAAAAAGGAGTCTTCATTTTATGCCTATGTTGAAAATCAATATGAAGAAGCCTTCTGAGACAACATCTAGGAAAATTACAAAGGAAAAGTATTAATTTAACAAGATAAATCACAAGCTAGGCCTATCAGAGGGTAAAAACATGTGAGCCTTATTCCCAATTAAAAGTAAAATCATGGAATATAACGAGTGATAACTGACTTTTTCCTTTTGTAATATATAATCACAGTTTATTATATTCTCATGACCATACTGAATACATCTGGCAAAATATTTGCTTAATGTCAACAAAAATTACCTTTGTGCACCATTGTGATGACCGTAGCTTGCAGGGAGAATTGGCAGAGAAGGGGATATGCTGGCATTGGCAAGTTTTTTAATTGGCACAGTGTAATTGGTTGTTAAACCTGAAAGAGAATTTCTCTTTAAATTTTTCATTTCAATACATCAGTCATTTCCCACTAATGTAAGATGATCCAAAGAAGGAAATACATTCACCATCACTCATCCTCTAGCTGTCTTTCTGGAAGTACAGGTTCTCCTCAACTTACGACAGGGTTACATTCCAATAAACCTCTTGTCAGTCGAAAATACTGTGAGTCAAATATGAATATATGCTAGAAGAGAGGGAGACTACTTCCTGGTAAAAGTAGGTCTTAGACAGGGAAGTGTAATGTCACCATGGTTGTTTAATATATTTATAGATGGGGTTGTAAAAGAAGTAAATGGGAATTGACAGTTACTTTTTGCTGATGATACTGTGCTTATGGGAGATTCTAAAGAAAAATTGTGAAGGTTAGTGGACGAATTTGAGAGTGTGTGTAAAGGTAGAAAATTGAAAGTGAACATAGAAAAGAGTAATGAGATGAGGGTATCAAATGATTAAGATAAAGAAAAATTGGATATCAAATTGGGGAAGAGGAGTATGGAAGAAGTGAATGTTTTTAGATATTTGGGAGTTGACATGTCAGTGGATGGATTTATGAAGGATGATGTTAATCATAGAATTGATGAAGGAAAAAAGGCGAGTGGTGTGTTGAGGTATATGTGGAGACAAAAAACGTTATCTACGGAGGAAAAGAAGGGAAGTATGAAAGTATAGTAGTACCAAACACTCCTTATATGGGGTGAAGCTTGGGTTGTAAAGCTGCAGCGAGGGGGGGTTGGAGGCAGTGGAGATGTTCGTCAAAGGGGCAATGTGTGGGAAAATTACAGTGGACCCCCCATAACGATTACCTCCGACAGCGCCCAAATTATGTAAGTGTATTTATGTAAGTGCGTTTGTACGTGTATTTTTGGGGGTCTGAAATGGACTAATCTACTTCACAATATTTCTTATGGGAACAAATTCGGTCAGTACTGGCACCTGAACATACTTCTGGAGTGAAAAAAATATCTTTAAACCGGGGTCCACTGTAATATGCAGAAAATTTGGAGTGTGGAAATTAGGAGAAGGTGTGGAGTTAATAAAAGTATTAGTCAGAGGGCTGAAGAGGGGTTGTTGAGGTGGTTTGGTCATTTAGAGAGAATGGATCAAAGTAGAATCACATGGAGAGCGTATAAATCTGTGGGGAAAGGAAGGCGGGGTAGGGGTTGTCCTCGAAAAGGTTGGAGGGAGGGGCTAAAGAAGGTTTTGTGGATGAGGGGCTTGGACTTCCAGCAAGCATGCGTGAGCGTGTTAGAAAGGAGTGAATGGAGACGAATGGTATTTAGGACCTGAGGAGCTGTTGGAGTGTGAGCAGGGTAATAATTAGTGAAGGGATTCAGGGAAACTGGTTATTTTTATATAGCCGGACTTGAGTCCTGGAAACGGGAAGTACAATCCCTGCACTTTAAAGGAGGGGTTTGGGATATTGGCAGCTTGGAGGGATATGTTGTGTATTTTTATACGTATATGCTTCTAAACTGTTGTATTCTGAGCACCTCTGCAAAAACAGTGATTATGTGTGAGTGAGGTGAAAGTGTTGAATGATGATGAAAGTATTTTCCTATTGGGGATTTTCTTTCTTTTTGGGTCACCCTGCTTCGGTGGGAGATGGCCCAACTTGTTAAAATAAATAAATAAATAAGTGTGTGTGTGTGTGTGTTGGGGTTGTGTGTGTGTGAGAGAGAGAGAGAGAGAGAGAGAGAGAGAGAGAGGAGAGAGAAAAGAGAGAGAGAGAGCAAGAGAGGAGAGAGAGGGGAGAGAGAGAGGAGAGGGGAGGAGAGAGAGAGAGAGAGAGAAGAAGAGAAGAGAGAGACAGACAGACAGACAGAGAGAGAGAAGAGAGGGGATGAGAGAGGGGAGAGAGAGAGAGACAGAGAGAGGGGGAAGGGGAGAGGGGAGACAGAGAGAGAGAGAGAGAGAGAGAGAGGAAGAGAGAGAGAGACAGAGAGAGAGAGAGGGGAGAGGGGAGACAGAGAGAAAGAGAGAGACAGAGAGAGAGAGAGAGAGAGAGAGAGACAGACAGAGAGAAAGAGAGAGGACAGAGAGAAAAGAGAGAGAGGGGAAAGGAGACAGCAGAGAGAGAGAGAGACAGACACAGAGAGAAGAGAGAGAGAGAGAAGAGGAGTAGAGAGAGAGAGAGGGGACAGAGAGAGAGAGACAGAGAGACAGAGAGAGAAAACAGAGAGAGAGACAGAGAGAGAGACAGAGAGAGAGAGACAGAGAGAGAGAGACAGAGAGAGAGAGAGACAGAGAGAGACAGAGAGAGAGAGAGAGAGAGAGAGAGAGAGACAAGGTTATCTGCCTGATGAACTTATTCCACCTCTAAATCGACAGGATGGGACCACCTCTACTAGTAGTCAAGAGAAGGCGGACCTCTTTGCTGAACACTTTGCTACCAAAATGCAAGTTCCTGATCCAGCAAGGGATCCTCCTTGGCTAGCTGCACGAACTGTGTCAAAACTGTCAGTGGTGACAATAAGGCAGGAGGAGGTGCATTTCCTTCTTAAATCACTTGACCAAGAAAAGGCTGTGGGCCCAGACAAGTTGAGCCCAAGATTGTTGAGAAGATGTGCAGACCAGCTAGCAGCACCTCTAACTCGCATCTTTCAGCACTGCCTAGTGCAGTGTAAATGGCCCTCTCTATGGAAAAAGGCAAATGTAGTCCCTGTTCACAAAAAGAAGAGCAGAGCAGAAATCAGCAACTACAGACCAGTGTCACTCCTGTCAATGACTGGTCAGATCCTTGAGACAATAATCTCAAGACAAATGACAGATTTTTTTGACTACCACCCATACTTTGTGATCGTCAATATGGCTTCAGAAAGTTACTCTGCTGCTGATCTGTTGTTAAACTCTCCACTAAGTGGCACCAGCCCACTGGATGAATCCAAAGTCAGCTGTGTGGTAGCACTGGACATTGCTGGCGTTTTCGAACCGGGTGTGGGCACCAGGCCTCTTAGCAAAACTTCAAGCACTGGAATTGCAGGCTCTACGCTATGTCTCCTCAGTGATTACCTTCATGGTAGATCTCTAAGTGTAGTCCTCAATGGAGCGGAATCAGTACGGCATCCTATTGGGGCAAGCGTTCCACAAGGAAGTGTGCTGGGTCCACTGTTTATGGAATGTCTACTTCACGACCTTCTTCATCTCATCCCAGAATCACATGCATATGCAGACGACTGTACACTGACATTCACTTATCCAAGAGAAGAAATGCCAGCTGCTCTAAGCTACATCAATCACCAGCTGAGAGCTATATCAGCTTGGGGAAATAGATGGCAAGTAACATTTGCACCTGAGAAAACGCAAATGATGATCGTCTCTAGGCACCATGATGGTAATGCGGTTGCAGTATTAAGGATGAATGGGAGGATGTTGGCACCTGGAGAAGAAGTTGATATCCTTGGGGTGAAATTTGACTCCAAACTAACCATGAAGAACCATGTTGTAATCTTGCAAACAAGGCAGCCAGGAAGCTTACAGGCACTTTCGCGTATCTCGGCATCTGCTTGACAGTAGGGTTGCAAGTTTCCTGTACGAGGCACAAGTACGCTCACACCTTGAGTATGCTCCACTTTCTTGGTTTGCCTGCCCCCCCTCCATCTGCGACTGCTTGACAGAGTAGAGAACAGAGCAAGACGTCTCATCTCTCGCCTGGACCCATCCTGGATAGATCTGTCATTTCAGCGAGCCTTCAACATAGGAGGGACGTGGTGGCCTTACTGTTATGTACAAGGCCAATATTGTCAAATACCACACTTGGATCCACTTCGAGGACAGCGTGAAACAAGCTTTTATCCCAAAGACGGGCAGAAAGCAGCAACTTCACTCTGGCTGTACCCTTCTCCAGAACATCACTCCATCTGAGATCATACATACCCAGGATGACTCGAGTATGGAACAAAATTCGTACAGCTTTAATGTTTGTCAACGAGATAAAGTCAGTTGATCAAATGAAAATGCTGGCCCACAGATGGCTCCAACTTCATCCTGTTCCCTACTTGTATGTCTCATAACAATAAAAATGCTTTCAAATGAGCTGATGTAGGTAACAGCTCTTAGCTTGCCAATAAAGTTAGGAATCCTTAACCTGTAATATAAGCTTTTCAATAAAGCTAGGGATCCTTAACCTTGTCAAACCCTGTGTAAAAAAAAAAAAAAAAAAAAAAAAAAAAAAAAAAAAAAAAAAAAAAAAAAGAGAGAGAGAGACAGAGAGAGAGAGAGAGAGAGACAGAGACAGAGAGACAGAGAGAGAGAGATACAGAGAGAGACAAAAGAGAAGACAGAGAGAGAGACAGAGAGAGAGAGAGAGACAGAGAGAGAGAGAGACAGAGGGGACAGAGAGAGAGACAGAGACAGAGACAGAGACAGAGAGACAGAGACAGAGAGACGAGACAGAGAGACAGAGAGACAGAGAGAGAGAGACAGAGAGAGAGAGAAAAGGAGAAGAGAGAGAGAGAGAGAGAGAGAGAGGAGAGAGAGAAGAGAGAGAGAGAGAGAGAGAGAGAGGAGAGAGAGACAGACAGACAGAGAGACAGACAGAGAGACAGAGAGAGAGAGAGAAGAGAGAGAGAACAGAGAGGAAGAGAGAAGAGAGAGAGGAGAGAGAGAGGACAGAGAAGAGAGAGAGAGGGAGAGAGGGAAAAGAGACTGTGCACATTACCATTCTTGATCCTACACCTGTCAGCACACCTGCTGACACTACCCCAGAATCTGGTAGCAGTGCTTCATCAGCAAGTTCTGACCCAGGATTTTTCTCCACCAAGAATTGGTGCATTTAAATTTGATCAGGGAACTTCACTGCACCTGATCACCTACTGCGCCAAAGTACGAACAGCAGGGACACATCTGTCAGAACTGGTAGAGGACGGGGCAGAGGACCCTGGAAGAGGACGTGGAGGAGGAAGACATCTACAGCTGTCTCACCCTCCACTAACCAGTTCCAGCGGGGAGAATCTGAGGACAAATCTGCAAAAACAGGAGGGCAACAAATCCTAGTCCCCCCTCCCAGGCACCTAGGCTGTGCTCTCGCTGTCACCGGAAGGGGCACACTGCCAACAACTGCCTGCGAGATACCAGGTGTAATTACTGTTACAAGAAAGGACATCAGGAGGAGCAGTGTTGGAAGAAAAAGGAACTTGACAGACAGGGCCACCTGTTTAGAGACCTGTTCTCAGAACAAACCAGCAGGATCTCTGAATTGGTGAACGCTCTCACATGTCACCCACTTAGCTACTCCTATCCCAGCCCAGCAGGTGGGATTGTGCCTTATACAAGACCACAGACCTACATCCCTGCAGCTGCCTCAGTACCCTACCTCTCTCAAGGGCAGGCACCTTACATTCCCTACACACCCACCACCTCAAGCTGACCACTTCATCATGAGGAGCCAGTCTATCAGCATTCTGTAGGCCAACATTAGAGGTTTCATTACTAATGTTGGAGAGCTCACACATAGTTTTGTGAACACTCAACGTCCTGACATGATAGCTGTTGTTGAAACATTTTTGGATGACAGGACTCCAGAAAATTTTGCAAGAATTGCTGGCTACACCTCATGGATGAGAAAGACAGGCAAGGGCAAGGAGGAGGTGTTGCTGTGTGCTTCTCTAAAAGTGTTCATGCCCAGCACATTGATGTTGCCACCCCCCACACATCTTTAAATGTGTTCTTCAAGCTCTGTATAAACACTAGTACCTCTGTAAATAGCATGTGCAATGTACAGACCTCAGTGGCAACATGCAGACCCATCAACTTCCTAATGGAAAATATTGACTCCCTTCTGCTTCAACACAACGACAACATATTTTAATTGTTGGTGACCTCAACCAGCAAACCTTATACAGAGGGACTTTGATGACCTTCTTGCAGTGTTTGACATGAAAACTTTGTTGATTTCCCTACTCATATCTCTGGCTCCTCCCTTGACCCAATAGTGAGTGATCTGGCAGAAGGCCCTAGTCACTTGTCAACCCCTCGGCAAAGTTGGGTCGTTCCCGACCACAAGGCTGTTTTTTACGACACTTAAGATCCCCAAAAGAACGAGGTGAGGAGTCCACATGCAACAACCTGGCTATGGGAAAGATGTAATTGGCCACCCTTTGCTCTAAGCTCACCACCACCCATTGGAATGCTCTTCTCCAAGGGATGTTTAAACCAACGGAAGCCTTTACTGGACACATCCTTAACTACAACAAAACACATTCCTCACCGGCAATATGTGACGAAGCCTACAGATCAGCCTTGGTTTTTGGCTTTCGGTTGTAGAGAGGCTGCACTGCTAAGTACAAAGATGGCAAGGTTTTTTAAGAACATCCTACCACCTATAACAGGAACTTGCACACGCAAGCCTGTAGGCATATGGGAGATGTTTCAAAAGTGGGCCATTGCTAAATGGGAGGTGGACACTAAAAGAAAGCTAGCACAGGTAGGGTAGGCTCCAAAACCGGTGGTCTTGGTCAAGGACAGACAAGGTTAAACTGCCTGATGAAATTATTCCCCCTCTAAATCGACAGGATGGGACCACCTCCACTAGTAGTCAAGAGAAGGCGGACCTCTTTGCTGAACACTTTGCTACCAAAATGCAAGTTCCTGATCCAGCAAGGGACCCTCCTTGGCTAGCTGCAAGAACTGTGTCAAACTTTTCAGTGGTGACAATAAGGCAGGAGGAGGTGCATTTCCTTCTTAAATCGCTTGACCAAGAAAAAGCTGTGGGCCCAGACAAGTTGAGCCCAAGATTGTTGAGAAGATGTGCAGACCAGCTAGCAGCACCTCTAACTCGCATCTTTCAGCACTGCCTAGAAAAAGTGTAAATGGCCCTCTCTGTGGAAAGAGGTAAATGTAGTCCCTGTTCACAAAAAGAAGAGCAGAGCAGAAATCAGCAACTACAGACCAGTGTCCCTTCTGTCAATCACTGGTAAGATCCTTGAGACAATAATCTCAAGACAAATGACAAGAGTTTTTTGACTACCACTCACTACTTTGTGATTGTCCCAAAAGGCTTCAGGAAAGGGTTTCTCTGCTGCTGATCTGTTTGTTAAAAACCTCTCCACTAAGTGGCACCAGTCACTGGATGAATCCAAAGTCAGCTGTGTGGTAGCACTGGACATTGCTAGTGCTTTCGACCGGGTGTGGCACCAGGGCCTCTTAGCAAAACTTCAAGCACTGGGAAAATTTCAGGCTCTACGCTATGTCTCCTCAGTGATTACCTTCATGGGTAGATCTCTAAGTGTAGTTCTCAATGGAACGGAATCAGCAAGACATCCTATTGGGGCAAGTGTTCCACAAAGGGAAATGTGCTGGGACCCTTGTTACGGAATGTCTACTTCAACGACCCTTTTTCATCTCATCCCAGAATCACATGCATATGCCCGACGACTGACACTGACATTCACTTTTCCAAAGAAAGAAATGCAGCTGCTCTAAGCTTTCTCAATCACCAGCTGAGAGCTATATCAGCTTGGGGAAATAGATGGCAAGTAACATTTGCACCTGAGAAAACGCAAATGATGATCGTCTCTAGGCACCATGAGGTATTTTGGTGCAGTAGTAAGGATGAATGGGAGGGTGGTTGGGACCTGGAGAAGAAGTTGATATCCTTGGGGTGAAATTTGACTTCAAACTAACCATGAAGAACCATGTTGTTAATCTTCCAAACAAGGCAGCCAGAAAGCTTACAGCACTTTGCCGTATCTCACATCTACTTGACAGTAGGGGTTGCAAGATTCTGTATGAAGCACAAGTATGCTCACACCTTGAGTATGCTCCACTTTCTTGGTTTGCCTGCCCCCCCCCCCTCATCTGCGACTGCTTGACAGAGTAGAGAACAGAGCAAGACGTCTCATCTCTCGCGTGGACCCATCCTGGATAGATCTGTTATTTCAGCAGAGCCTTCAACATAGGAGGGATGTGAGTGGCCTTACTGTTATGTACAAGGCCAATATTGTCAAAGTACCACACTTGGATGCACTTTGAGGACAGCGTGAAACAAGCTTTTATGCCACAAGACGGGCAGAAAGCAGCAACTTCACTCTGGCTGTACCCTTCTCCAGAACATCACTCCATCTGAGATCATATATACCCAGGATGACTCGAGTATGGAACACATTCGTACAGCATAATGATGTCAACGAGATAAAGTCAGTTGATCACATGAAAATGCTTGCCCACAGATGGCTCCAACTTCATCCTGTTCCCAACTTGTATGTCTCATAACAATAAAAATGCTTTCAAATGAGCATCCCTATCTAATACCAGAGCGTAGACATTAAAAAGATGTGGAGGTCACATGGGTATAATTAAGAGGCCTGAGGAAGGGTCGCTGAGGTGGTTGGACATTTAGAAAGTGTGGATGGGGATAGAATGACAGAGGGTGGAAGGTAAGAGGGCTAAAGGTCACCCTACAAATAGTTTGAGGGAGAGGGTAAGGGAGGCTTTGAGTTTTAGGAGTTGAGCATCCAGCAGGGTAACATTTACAAAGACATTCAGGGAAACTGGTTAGTTGGACTTAGAGTTCTGGTGGGATGGGCAGTGCATGCACACTGAAGGAAGAATGGGGATGTTGCAGTTTGGAAGGTTATTTGAATTGTGTCGTCTGCACACTTCTGGCAAGTGTTATGGAATGAATGATGGTGAATGTATTTCCTTTTTCTAGGGTAATCCCAACTCTTGAGAGACTGCTATTGTTAAAAAAAAATTACAGTATATGTAAACCACAAAAACATCCCTGTTTAGCACAAACAATTAAGTTCTTTTGAATAACCTAGCAGAAGTTTTACCTAGTATTTACACTTACACAAACAGTATATTTAAACACACTTCCACAATAAACCTTGGTAATGTAAACTATATATATGTGTAAATATTTATTAATATAACTCTGTGTATACACATTTAAACATGCAGATTCAATGATTTTTTAATATCATTTCATGATTCCTATCTTCATCTTGAAAGATGCAAAGAAGTACCTATTAGTTATAAGAGTGTGGCTATGGCTAACAGCTCGAGGCTTACCAGATATACCAGCCTCGGTTAGCGATGTGGTGTAGGTGCAGCCCATGGGACATTTGACTTCAGTGTCACGAGCTAAACTGATTAGACAATCACAGCAAAATGTATGACCACAGCTGAGAATCTTGGGCTTGTGCTGCCACTCGTCAAAAGTGGCTCCACATATATTACACAACGCAGGATCTTTCTGTGAGGGCAAGTGGGAAACACTGGTTAGTTTGTTCATATTTGCAGGTGCTTTAAAGAAACAAACCACAGAATGGATGGAGATTGAACCTAAGGCAAATGAAATGAGTCATGAAACTCCAAGCCAGTGTGTAAGCCACTTGGCCAGCTGGCTACAATGAAATTCATCCAAACACTTAAAGTCATATTGAAAAATATATAAATCCTTCTTTTAATGGATGCTTCATATTCATAAGACTCCTTAATTTGCCTAAAAAACTATGACATTCCAGTTAAATAAGTTTTTTGCTTTCTTCATTCTAAATAGATATATACAGTGGTACCCTGACTTATGAGAGTACCAACGCACGAGTTTTTTGATATGAGCCGTAGATTATGAGGGTAGATTTTTTGCTTTGAGTTACAAGCCAACATTTGAGTTACGAGCCAGCTCCCCCTGCTTCCCCATCAACACAAAACCTGGACATCTTGCTTGTTTATCTATGATTTCATGCTTTAATTCCATGGAAATCATCCTCTTTTTCTTTTCAGCACTGTCCTTTACACTTACTTTCCTAGGACCCATGCTTAGAAAAATGAAATTTGGCCAAATGACTGTCAAAAATGTAAGCAAAGCATGAAAGAACTGCTCCCACAGCAGGGTAAACAGTGCACTTAGTTGGCGGCGTTCGTTATTATGATAATAATTATTATTATAATAATGATAGAGCTTCAGTTCCCTAAATTATTAATAATAATAATATACATAATACGTACATAATAATATGTAATTCAGAATGCTGCCGCTAGTTGGCACAGCTGATGCCAAAACATCCGGTAAGTAGTACACATGTTTACATCGCTGTAGGAGCAGTTCTCTTATGCTTGCTTGCATTTTTTTTTAGTCATTTGGCCAAATTTCTTATTTTCTAACCATGCGTCCTAAGAAAAATATGTGCAAAGGACAGTGCTGAGAGGAAAAAGAGGATGATTTCCTTGGACTTAGTCAGGTAATACCAGCTTAGTACATCTACGATATGTAGATACTAACTAAATAACAAAAAGGCACAATACCATGACTGGAACGATACACAAATAACTCGCACATAGAAGAGAGGAGTGTGACTTTTTAAATGGTCCAAGTCGGACCGAAACGTCGTCGTTAGCTCTTCTCTTCTATGTGCGGGTTATTTGTGTATGTAGATACTAAAGCTGTATCAGTTATGTTCAGTGATTAAACAAAACAAATTGTATCAGCTAAGTTCAGCGATCAAACAAAACAACGTTGTGTTTGGAGGTTTACAGGGCCAATGACATCACACGCTGTAGCCTCAACCTCCCGCACCGTCTCTGCTCCAAGTGTGTAAGTACATATACACTTTATATAAACAGTTTAACATTTCTTTACATTCTGTAGTGTATTATGATTTATTATTTTTTTATATACAATATTTCTGCAGTCAGCCTCACAAATACAGTGGACCCCCGCATAACGATCACCTCCGAATGCGACCAATTATGTAAGTGTATTTATGTAAGTGCGTTTGCACGTGTATGTTTGAGGGTCTGAAATGGACTAATCTACTTCACAATATTCCTTATGGGAACAAATTCGGTCAGTACTGGCACCTGAACATACTTCTGGAGTGAAAAAATATCGTTAACCGGGGGTCCACTATACTCCCTTTTTTCTTACAACAGGAGCATGGGAAGATATTGTAGTCAAAGTTAGACAGGAAATGGCGGGCTCTCCCCACCGCTGCCTCTGCCACCATATTATGGCCTATTTTATTCATTCTAGAGTATATATCATGTTTCTGTGTTAATTATATTCTTATTATGTCATATTAGATGAATTGTGATAGATAAATAAGCCGTAGAGTTGATATTAGTGTCATATTCAAGTACGACTCAAGAAATCGTAATGACACGATTGCAAACAAACCATACCCCGGCCGGGATTGAACCCGCGGTCATAGAGTCTCAAAACTCCAGCCCGTCGCGTTAGCCACTAGACCAGCTAGCCGCAATAAGATTCATCCAACTAGGTATATTTCTACACCATAGGAAGGTTAGCATAGGCACCTCTGTGACCACAAATGCAAGTTTTTACAGACGAATCTCCAGCTAGCGTGGCCGTGACGAACTCTAGCTCAAGTCCCTTCACTGCCGTCAACATGACTCAAGAAATCATAATGACACGATTGCAAACAAACCATACCCCCGGCCGGGATTGAACCCGCGGTCATAGAGTCTCAAAACTCCAGCCCGTCGCGTTAGCCACTAGACCAGCTAGCCACAATAAGATACATCCAACTAGGTATATTTCTACACCATAGGAAGGTTAGCACAGGCACCTCTGTGACCACAAATGCAAGTTTTTACAGACGAATCTCCAGCTAGCGTGGCCGTGACGAACTCTAGCTCAAGTCCCTTCACTGCCATCAACATGACTCAAGAAATCGTAATGACACGATTGCAAACAAACCATACCCCCGGCCGTGATTGAACCCGCGGTCATAGAGTCTCAAAACTCCAGCCCGTCGCGTTAGCCACTAGACCTATGGTGTAGAAATATACCTAGTTGGATGAATCTTATTGTGGCTAGCTGGTCTAGTGGCTAATGCGACGGGCTGGAGTTTTGAGACTCTATGACCGCGGGTTCAATCCCGGCCGGGGGTATGGTTTGTTTGCAATCGTGTCATTACGATTTCTTGAGTCATGTTGACGGCAGTGAAGGGACTTGAGCTAGAGTTCGTCACGGCCACGCTAGCTGGAGATTCGTCTGTAAAAACTTGCATTTGTGGTCACAGAGGTGCCTGTGCTAACCTTCCTATGGTGTAGAAATATACCTAGATGGATGAATCTTATTGTGGCTAGCTGGTCTAGTGGCTAACGCGACGGGCTGGAGTTTTGAGACTCTATGACCGCGGGTTCAATCCCGGTCGGGGGTATGGTTTATATTCAAGTACGTATTTTGTCATGCCTCCAGAGCACAGAAACGGATTAATGGCTTTTCAATTAATTAAAATGAGGAAAATTGATTTGACATACGAGTAAATTGAGTTACGAGCTAGGTCACGGAATGGGCTAAACTCGTAAGTCAATGTCCCACTGTACTTCATGACAATAGCCTAGAGCTGTAAGATACACAATGCACCACCACAGTCTGGTCATACTTTTGGACTACTTGTTAATTAGCAAAGCAGAATCAAAGTCTTTAACCTACTAAACTGGGCCTATAAATTTGCAAGTTATCATTTGCCTCGATATGTTCACAACAGACATAATAAACTTATTTATGATTTTTTTTTTCAACAAGTCAGCTGTCTCCCACCGAGGCAGGGTGACCCAAAAAAGAAACAAAATCCCCAAAAAGAAAATGCTTTCATCATCATTCAACACTTTCACCTCACACATAATAACTGTTTTTGCAGAGGTGCCCAGAATACAACAGATTAGAAGTATAGTCGGACTTGAGTCCTGGAAATGGGAAGTACAATGCCTGCACTTTAAAGGAGGGGTTTGGGATATTGGCAGTTTGGAGGGATATGTTGTGTATCTTTATATGTTTATGCTTCTAGACTGTTGTATTCTGAGCACCTCTGCAAAAACAGTGATAATGTGCGAGTGTGGTGAAAGTGTTGAATGATGATGAAAGTATTTTCTTTTTGGGGATTTTCTTTCTTTTTTGGGTCACCCTGCCTCGGTGGGAGACGGCCGACTTGTTGAAAAAAAAAAAAAAAAAAAAAAAAAAAAAAAAAAAAAAAAAAAAAAAAAAAAAACAATACATGTATATCCCTCCAAACTGCCAATATCCCAAACCCCTTCTTAAGAGTGCAGGCATTGTACTTCCCATTTCCAGGACTCAAGTCCAGTTATATAAAATAACCGGATTCCCTGAATCCCTTCACTAAATATTACCCTGCTCACACTCCAACAGATCGACAGGTTCCAAATACCATTTGTCTCCATTCACTCCTATCTAACATGCTCATGCACGCTTGCTGGAAGCCCAAACCCCTCGCCCAAAACATCTCCTTTACCCCCTCCCTCCAACCTTTTCGAGGACGACCCCTACCCCACCTTCCTTCCCCTACAGATTTATACACTCTCCATGTCATTTTACTTTGATTCATTCTCTCTAAATGACCAAACCGCCTCAACAAACCCTCTTCAGCCTATGACTAATACTTTTATTAACTCCACACCTTCTCCTAATTCCCACACTCTGAATTTTCTGCATAATATTTACACCACACATTGCCCTTAGACAGGACATCTCCACTGCCTCCAACCGTCTCCTCGCTGCTGCATTTACCACCCAAGCTTCACACCCATATAAGAGTGTTGGTATTACTATACTTTTATACATTCCCTTCTTTGCCTCCATAGATAACATTTTTTGCCTCCACATATACCTCAATGCACCACTCACCTTTTTTCCTTTATCAATTCTATGATTAACCTCATCCTTCATAAATCCATCCGCTGACACGTCAACTCCCAAATATCTGAAAACATTCACTTCTTCCATACTCCTCCTCCCCAATTTGATATCCAATTTTTCTTTATCTAAATCATTTGATACCCTCATCTCATTACTCTTTTCTATGTTCACTTTCAACTTTCTACCTTTACAAACACTCCCAAATTTGTCCACTAACCTTTGCAATTTTTCTTTAGAATCTCCCATAGGCACAGTATCATCAGCAAAAAGTAACTGTGTCACTTCCCATTTTGTATTTAATTCCCCATAATTTAATCCCACCCCTCTCCCGAACACCTTAGCATTTACTTCTTTTACAACCCCATCTATAAATATATTAAACAACCATGGTGGCATTACACATCCCTGTCTAAGACCTACTTTTACTGGGAAGTAGTCTCTCTCTCTTCTACACACCCTAACCTGAGCCTCACTATCCTCATAAAAACTCTTTACAGCATTTAGTAACTTACCACCTATTCCATATACACGTACTTGCAACATCTGCCATATTGCTTCCCTATCCACTGTATCATATGCCTTTTCTAAATCCATATATGCGTTAAAAACTTCCCTACCTTTATCTAAATACTGCTCACATATGTGCTTCAATGTAAACACTTGATCTACACATCCCCTACCCACTCTAAAACCTCCTTGCTCATCCGCAATTCTACATTCTGTCTTACCTCTAATTCTTTTAAAAATAACCCTACTGTACACTTTTCCTGGTATACTCGGTAAACTTATTCCTCTATAATTTTTACAATCTCTTTTATCCCCCTTCCCTTTATATAAAGGGACTATACACGCTCTCTGCCAATCCCTAGTTACCTTCCCCTCTTTCATATTATCACACTGGCCGATTCCCACCAAGGCAGGGTGGCCCGAAAAAGAAAAACTTTCACCATCATTCACTCCATCACTGTCTTGCCAGAAGGGTGCTTTACACTACAGTTTTTAAACTGCAACATTAACACCCCTCCTTCAGAGTGCAGGCACTGTACTTCCCATCTCCAGGACTCAAGTCCGGCCTGCCGGTTTCCCTGAATCCCTTCATAAATGTTACTTTGCTCACACTCCAACAGCACGTCAAGTATTAAAAAACCATTTGTCTCCATTCACTCCTATCAAAAACGCTCACGCATGCCTGCTGGAAGTCCAAGCCCCCCGCACACAAAACCTCCTTTACCCCCTCCCTCCAACCCTTCCTAGGCCGACCCCTACCCCGCCTTCCTTCCACTACAGACTGATACACTCTTGAAGTTATTCTGTTTCGCTCCATTCTCTCTACATGTCCGAACCACCTCAACAACCCTTCCTCAGCCCTCTGGACAACAGTTTTGGTAATCCCGCACCTCCTCCTAACTTCCAAACTACGAATTCTCTGCATTATATTCACACCACACATTGCCCTCAGACATGACATCTCCCTGCCTCCAGCCTTCTCCTCGCTGCAACATTCATCACCCATGCTTCACACACCATATAAGAGCGTTGGTAAAACTATACTCTCATACATTCCCCTCTTTGCCTCCAAGGACAAAGTTCTCTGTCTCCACAGACTCCTAAGTGCACCACTCACTCTTTTTCCCTCATCAATTCTATGATTCACCTCATCTTTCATAGACCCATCCGCTGACACGTCCACTCCCAAATATCTGAATACGTTCACCCTCCTCCATACTCTCTCCCTCGAATCTGATATTCAATCTTTCATCACCTAATCTTTTTGTTATCCTCATAACCTTACTCTTTCCTATATTCACCTTTAATTTTCTTCTTTTGCACACCCTACCAAATTCATCCACCAATCTCTGCAGCTTCTCTTCAGAATCTCCCAAGAGCACAGTGTCATCAGCAAAGAGCAGCTGTGACAACTCCCACCCTGTGTGTGATTCTTTATCTTTTAACTCCACGCCTCTTGCCAAGACCCTCGCATTTACTTCTCTTACAAACCCCATCTATAAATATTAAACAACCACGGTGACATCACACATCCTTGTCTAAGGCCTACTTTTACTGGAAAAAATTTCCCTCTTTTCTACATACTCTAACTTGAGCCTCACTATCCTTGTAAAAACTCTTCATGCTTTCAGTAACCTACCTCCTTACACCATACACTTGCAACATCTGCCACATTGCCCCCCTATCCACCCTGTCATACGCCTTTTCCAAATCCATAAATGCCACAAAGACCTCTTAGCCTTATCTAAATACTGTTCACTTATATGTTTCACTGTAAACACCTGGTCCACACACCCCCTACCTTTCCTAAAGCCTCCTTGTTCATCTGCTATCCTATTCTCCGTCTTACTCTTAATTCTTTCAATTATAACTCTACCATACACTTTACCAGGTACACTCAACAGACTTATCCCCCTATAATTTTTGCACTCTCTTTTATCCCCTTTGCCTTTATACAAAGGAACTATGCATGCTCTCTGCCAATCCCTAGGTACCTTACCCTCTTCCATACATTTATTAAATAAATTGCACCAACCACTCCAAAACTATATCCCCACCTGCTTTTAAACATTTCTATCTTTATCCCATCAATCCGGCTGCCTTACCCCTTTCATTTTACCTACTGCCTCACGAACTTCCCCCACACTCACAACTGGCTCTTCCTCACTCCTACAAGATGTTATTCCTCCTTGCCCTATACACGAAATCACAGCTTCCCTATCTTCATCAACATTTAACAATTCCTCAAAATATTCCCTCCATCTTCCCAATACCTCTAACTCTCCATTTAATAACTCTCCTCTCCTATTTTTAACTGACAAATCCATTTGTTCTCTAGGCTTCCTTAACTTGTTAATCTCACTCCAAAACTTTTTCTTATTTTCAACAAAATTTGTTGATAACAGCTCACCCACTCTCTCATTTGCTCTCTTTTTACATTGCTTCACCACTCTCTTAACCTCTCTCTTTTTCTCCATATACTCTTCCCTCCTTGCATCACTTCTACTTTGTAAAAACTTCTCATATGCTAACTTTTTCTCCCTTACTACTCTCTTTACATCATCATTCCACCAATCGCTCCTCTTCCCTCCTGCACCCACTTTCCTGTAACCACAAACTTCTGCTGAACACACTAAACACTACATTATTAAACCTACCCCATTCCTCTTCGACCCCATTGCCTATGCTCTCATTAGCCCATCTACCCTCCAATAGCTGTTTATATCTTACCCTAACTGCCTCCTCTTTTAGTTTATAAACCTTCACCTCTCTCTTCCCTGATGCTTCTATTCTCCTTGTATCCCATCTACCTTTTACTCTCAGTGTAGCTACAACTAGAAAGTGATCTGATATATCTGTGGCCCCTCGATAAACATGTACATCCTGAAGTCTACTCAACAGTCTTTTATCTACTAATACATAATCCAACAAACTACTGTCATTTCGCCCTACATCATATCGTGTATACTTATTTATCCTCTTTTTCTTAAAATATGTATTACCTATAACTAAACCCCTTTCTATACAAAGTTCAATCAAAGGGCTCCCATTATCATTTACACCTGGCACCCCAAACTTACCTACCACACCCTCTCTAAAAGTTTCTCCTACTTTAGCATTCAGGTCCCCTACCACAATTACTCTCTCACTTGGTTCAAAGGCTCCTATACATTCACTTAACATCTTTCATACATTTATTAAACAAAAATACCAACCACTCCAACACTATCCCCCCTCCCCTGCTTTTAACATTTCTGTCATGATCCCGTCAGTTCCAGCTGCTTTACCCATTTTCATTCTACGTAATGCCTCACACACTTCCCCCACACTCACATCCTGCTCTTCTTTACTCCTAAAAGATGCTATACCTCCCTGGCCAGTGCATGAAATTACCGCCTCCCTTTCTTCGTCGACAATACCTTATCAAAAATAAAATTTAGGTGTAGCACCAGTGGAACAAGCAGTGTAATTTCATAATTATTTTTAACCTAAATTTGTGGCTAAAATTATCAAAACTATCAAAAGTGGCTGGGCCACTTATCCTTCATTCTCTCCTTTTCCTCCCACACCTCTTTTACCCATTTCTTACCTTTCCCATCCTCACTCCCCATACCACGGCTGGCTCTGGTCATAGTTCGGTTCAGCATATACCCAAGAGACAGCACAATGGATTTAGAAATCAACAAATTCAAAAAGTTTCACATACATCGTGACTTCACTCTTTTAACCACCTTTTCACCAGCTTATTTCCTTAGCATTTTGTATACACTAGAAAATCTGCTAAAATATTTAAAATACAGTGATACCTCGAGTTACAAACTTAATTCGTTCCAGAAGGCTGTTCGAGTGCCAATACCTAACAAATTTGTTCCCATAAGGAATAATGTAAATTAGATTAGTCCGTTTCAGACCCCCAAAAATTCACTTACAAAAGCATTTCCAAAAATACACTTACATAATTGAGTTGGGAGCTGTTTGAAACTTGAGGTACCACTGTATATAAAAAGGATAATGGAAAATATGCTTGCCTCTGGTCTTTCATGATTGGATTCTTGTATAGGGTTAGAATTAGCATCGACAGCTTGCATTTTAGATAGAGGAGATGCTTGTTCTTTAACGGCCTCAAAGGATTTCAAGGGCTGGAAATCAGGCATCGGAGAAGCTCGTGATTGAGGTGGTGGGGTCTGACCAATTGGAGATGGATGACTACTGGTGATTGAAGTTGGAAAGGGAGGCGGATACGAAAATAGGCCTGGAGTCTGAAGGTTTGCCGAGGTTACGGGTTGTTTGAACGTAGGAAAAGGTTCTGGCGGAAGATGTCGTTCTCGTGATTCAAACAATTTTGATTTAGACTGAAAGAAAAAACAAAAATTAAAATTTGTCACCCTATTCATTTATAATTATTTAGGAAAAAATAAACCATCATCAAAAATAAACAACACGGTAAGAAGTCCAGCATGTCTAATGCAAGCAAGCATGCATGCAAGCGCACGCACACACACACAAAGAAAATCAGTCTCATTATTCATAAAAGATAATGCTCGACAACATCTTCAACAAACAAAACTGTACTACAAATGTTAAGCAAACTTCATGATCGCTTCAATAAAAAATTTTTTTGCAATCCTCATGTTCATGGTTATCTAACAGTTCATAATGCAACAGTTCCTAGTATGCATAACTAAAACAATCACACCATCTACTACTTGGCTCTCAAGAGGTATTCTGTACAGAATAATACAATCATGTGATATATAACTTGGCTGTCAAGACCCCTTCTATAGTGAATAATACAACTATTACAACCACATCATGTGTTATAATATATTACAACCAGACCATGTGTTACAATATAACTAATACAACCACACCATGTGTTATAATACAACTACACCATGTGTTATAATACAACTAATACAACCACACCATGTGTTATCATAACCACACCTTATGTTATAATACATAACAACCACACCATGTGTTATTTATCTTTCAATGGCATTCTTCACCAACAAAATAAAATTCTGTCATTTGTTTCTTGGTAAAAAGGCATAATTAATTACTCAGAAATGAAATCGTGTCCAAAAAATAAATCTTTTGAAGCAAGAGCAGCAAGGTTAAAGCTACTTACTGTGCTAAAGTCGTTAAAGTCATCTAATGTAGAAATGCCTTTCCCTATTATATTATGCTTGAATACAGGTGCAGCTTTCTTAGAATTAATTGAAGCCTCCACTGCCATAGCTGAAAAGAAAGTTAACTTTGTGATATATAAGGTATTGTGCCATAAAATCTCTATTAAAATGCAATACCTGAATTCAAATTTCGAACTGCTGCTTAGAACTCCCTAAAATATTTCTAGAGTTTGTAAAAATCACAAGCCGTAAAAGTTTTCTAGATGACTAAGAATGTGCACCACTTAAATGTCTGTATTTCTGAAATGTTTTGCCTGTACAGCGGGCTTCTTCAGTCAAATACAGTGGCCCCCCGCATAACGATCACCCCCGAAGGGCGACCAATTATGTAAGTGTATTTATTTAAGTGCATTTGTACGTGTATGTTTGGGGGTCTGAAATGGACTAATCTACTTCACAATATTCCTTATGGGAACAAATTCAGTCAGTACTGGCACCTGAACATACTTCTGGAGTGAAAAAATATCGTTAACCGGGGTCCACTGTACAGAGGTTACCAAAATACTGGTTACAGATAAGAAAGATTGAGGTGTTCAGTCCCTTAGCTTTGACAGAAAGTTGTTTAGTTTCATATCACTGATTACCCTGAAGTACAGGCACTGAACCAGAAGTGAGATGCAGCAGTTGGAGATAGTGCCACTGTTGGTGGGTCCCACTAGCATGTTTTTTTGACCCACGATAGGCAGGTCCTTAACAAATTTGTCACTTCTCACACATGAGAACATGCCTATAAGGTAATATAGATGTTCTCTGTACAAAGACATGAAGATGTAGCTGTGTAGCCAAGTATCATTATATTAACCCATTTGGGTGGTCCTATAGTCCTAAGGCTTTGAAGCCTAGGTCTGTCTCTTTGTTCTACACCAAAATTCTAGTGGCTTCAAATTTAGCAGAGAAGGCTGGTAGGCCTACATACGAGAGAATGGGTCTGCATGGTCAGTTTGCGCAGTATACAAAAAGACTGGAGCGCTCGCATTGCATTGTGGGAACGCCATTCCATTACTCTTTGTTCATTATTGCTTGAGGTAAAAAACCTCACTCCCCACCAAATTGGGAATCCTCTCTTTCCAAGTGACAGTTCTAACATGGATGGGTGGAAGTGAAGATAAATTTTATGTTTTTTGAGGAGTTTGTGACCAAAAGCAACCCTTAGGATGATGTAAATACTGCTAAAAACCCCAACAACAGTCAACCATCCACCTCTGGGCTGGTCCATCTGGTTCACATTCAGTTGTAACATGACATAAATATAAGTTTATATTTTCTTGTGGCCAGGACTCAGATGTGAGCAATGGTGATGATAGTGATATTGACTGTGATTACCTAGTTCTCAATGACTATTCAAGTAGCAACTGTGAAGAGGAATGTTCAACGGTGAAGTGTCGATTTATACATCCTGGAATATATCCCATGGCCCTACACCAGGAATAGACAGTGAAAGTGATGGTTGTGACTACAACGGATGGATAATTGACCACATGTGGCAGTATTTGGTGGTGGTGGTGCCACGTGGGATGGGGACCAGCAGCCCCCCAGGCTGGAAGGCACACTGCTGACTCAGGACGTCCACAATCAAATCCAGCCTTAACCACCCACATACCACAACAACCTGCACAAACCAGCAATCAAAGTGGAATCCAGCCAACTTGTACCCTTGGGAACAATGCCAGTGAACTGGAATGTTTTGAACTATCTTTTAATTAAACCGCTGATGGAAATTATCATCAGAGAAGAAATACATACAGTGGTTCCCCGAGTTTCGAACAGCTCCCAACTCGACCAATTATGTAAGTGCTTTTCTAAGTGTATTTTTGGGGTTTGAAATGGAATAATCTAATATACATTATTCCTTATGGGAACAAATTCGTTTGGTAATGGCACTCGAACAGCCTTCCGGAACGAAGAAAGTTCGAAACTTGGGGTACCACTGTACTTCAATTATACCATGACAACACACCCGTTTCACCAAAATCATGACTACACCAGTGGAAGGAGACAACTGTTTCTGAGATGTATCTGTTCCTTGCCACAATAATGCTGATGTCACAACTGTTTTATCCTATTATGTATGCAAGCTACACTTCTCAGACAAAACAAGGCCTGACAGAAATGACAGTTATACAAGATTGGGATGTGTTTATGTATCTGAAACAAAAGTTCATATGTATTTTATCCTTTCAGGAACCTTGTTACTGACAAGTCTTTGATTTTTTTTCAAAGGCAGACTTCATTCAAGCAGTATTACCAAGCAAGTGGAAATGTTTTTGGTATCAAGCTGTTTGTGCTTTGTGATTGGGGAAAGTGGTCTGGTATTAAGACATAACTGTGTACACTGAAAGTAATACACTGAAGGACACCAGAAAGTATTGGGTATCTCTGGTAAATGTGGCTAGAACACTGATGCAACCATATCTTGGTAAGGGTCAAAATATTATATACTGATAACTGGTACACAAACCCCTTACTCAGTGATTTCTTGCAAGTGAACATGAGAGATGTGTGTGGTAGAGTGCATGCCAATCATAAGCATATGCCCAGGTTCAACATAAGAACTCGTGTGGTGAGGTGCAGGTGTTTGCTACTAATGACATGACATTATGGTGGAATGACAAATGAGACGTCACATTGTTGACATCCATTCACTAAAATGAAATGACACACACTGCCAAGGAGAAGAGAGAGAGACCAATGAAGTCATTGTAAAAACCCGCAGCTGTGATGGACTACATACTCAATATGCATTTAGTGGACAAATGTGACATGCAAATTGGTTTGCCGATTGTGTTCACAAGAGTTACAAGTGGTACATGAAACTATTTCTATCTTTAGGACATTTCCACACTCAATGCTTATAATATGTATAAGATAAGGACCGGAAACAGACCACTGTATGCTGAATTTTGTCTGTCATCAGACAAATAACATTCAGGTACCAGGTAACAACACCTGCAATACAAAACTGCCCACGAACTGATCATTTACATACCCTCTCATTTGAAGCACGGTGATCACTTCTTAGTGACACTTCCTCCTACTAAAAAGAAATGGGCTCAGAAGAGATGTTTTGTCTATGGACATGCAACAAAATGCTCAAAAAAATGTAGACACTCATTTTGTATGTGAGGAGTGTAAAACAGCACTGTGCATGACACCATGTATCAGTTTGCAACAAACTGCAACAGTTCTTGGAACATGTCCAGTGATTGAATATTAGTAATAAGAACATTATATTTGTTTGTGTAAACATGCTTTGTAAACAATTTAATAATAACAATATTAGTGCGTGAATGTGCGTGGATGTAGTGGGGATGATAAGAAAGAGATGATTGCTGGTGTTATGAATGAAAAGAAGTTGGATGTCCTGGCCCTAAGCAAAACAAAGCTGAAAGGGTTAGGTGAGTTTTAGTGGGGAGAAATAAATGGGATTAAGTCAGGAGTATCTGAGAGAGTTGAGCTAAGGAAGGGGGAGCAATAATGTTGAAGGACTAGTTATGGAACCAGAAGAGGAATATAAACTTGTAAATTCACGGATTATGTGGATTAAAATAAGGGTCGGATGTGAAAAGTGGGTCATAATAAGCGTGTATGCACCTGGAAAAGAGAGGAGTGTAGAGGAGAGAGAGAGATTTGGGAAATGTTTAAGCGGATGTATAGGAACCTTTGAACCAAGTGAGAGAGTAATTGTGGTAGGGGGACCTAAATGCTAAAGTAGGAGAAGCATTTAGAGAGGGTGTGGTAGGTAAGTTTGGGTGCCAGGTGTAAATAATAATGGAAACCCTTTGACTGAATTTTGTATAGAAAGGGGTCTAGTTATAGGCAATACGTATTTTTAAAAAAAAGATGATAAATAAGTAACAAGATGTGATGTAGGGCGTAATGACAGTGGGTTTGTTGGACTATGTATTGGTAGATAAAAGACTGTTGAGTAACTTCAGGATGTAAAATGTTTATAGAGGGGCCATAGATACATCAGATCACTTTGAAGTTGTAGCTACACTTGAGAGTAAAAGGTAGATGGGATACAAGGAAAACAGAAGCAGCAAGTAAGAGAGAGTGAAGGTGTATAAACTAAAAGAGGGGGCAGTTACGGTAAGATATAAACAACTACTAGAGGATAGATGGGCTAGTGAGAGTATAGGCAATGTGTCAAAGATGTATGGGTAGGTTTAAGAGTGTTAGTGTGTTCAGCGAAGTTTGTGGTTACAGGAAAGTGGGTGCGGGGGGGAAAAGAAGAGGGATTGGTGGAATGATGACGTAAAGAGAGTAGTATGGAAGAAAAAGCTAGCATATGAGAGGTTTTTACAAAGTAGAAGTGATGCAAGGAGGAAAGAGTATATGGAGAGAAAAAGAGAGGTTAAGGAGTTGTGAAGCAATGTAAAAAGAGAGCAAATGAGAGAGTGGGTGAGATGTTATCAACAAATTTTGTTGAAAATAAGAAAAAGTTTGGGGTGAGATTAATAAGTGAGGAAGCCTAGGGAACAAATAGATTTGACAGTTAAAAAACAGGAGAGGAGAGTTATTAAATGGAGAGTTTAAGGTATCAGGAAGATGGAGGGAATATTTTGAGGAAATGTTAAATGTGACGAAGACAGGGAAGCTGTGATTTCGTGTATAGGGAAAGGAGGAATAAAAATCTTGTAGAGTGAGGAAGAGCCGTTGTAAGTGTGGGGGACGTTTGTGAGGCAGTGGGTTTGAATGAAAGAGGGTAAGGCAGCTGGGATTGATGGGATAAAGATTTGAAATGTTAAAAGCAGGGGGGAGAAATGTTTTTGGGGAAGTTGGTGCTATTTTTTACTAAATGTATGAAGAGGTAAGGTACCTAGGATTGGCAAAGAGCATGCATAGTTCCTTTGTATAAAGGCAAAGGGGATTAAAAGAGAGTGCAAAAAATTTAATAGGGTAGGGGATGTGTAGATCAAGTTTACATTGAGGCATATATGTGAAAAAGTACTTAGATAAAGGTAGGGGAAATTTTTATTGCATTTATGGGTTAGAAGAGGCATATGATAGAGTGGATAGGGCAGCAATATGGCAGATGTTGCAAGTATA